TAGTCTTCCCTCTTCAACCATGCCTTTAGCATAATTTATACCTACAATATCTCAACATAGCAGTAAAATGTAGAATTACTTTGTTGTTTGCCAACTTCACAAACTATCCGCCCATTCTGATATTTTTGATCTGCGGGCATCCTCTGCCCATCTTGTCTGTTTAGATGTCCTCTTGCCCTTAACGTTCCAGCATTGCTTACGAATGGTCTCTGCTCAGGATTTTGCAGTTACTGCAACTGCCATGACATAAGATAGGGAAGAAAGCAAAATGTCAGGACTGCCGTATGGTATACAGCTATGTGATCTTCCCTATACCGAAGGAGCAGAACTGGCCCATAAGCCTAGAAGGACCTTCCTCAAGAGAAGAGAAAGGATGAAAAGGACCAAGAGAAACAACTAATTCTAAAGGAAAACTACTGAGAGAAGGGAAATAGGAAGAGAAATGAAGTTAGAGGATCAAACGTAGGGTATCAAAGGAAATACCAGACAGAAAACCTTTGTCAGCACCTACTGTTCTAGGAAAGAACTCAAGCAGACTGTCTTAGAAGAGATACAATCATGCAAGCCCCATAGTCAGAGTACTCTGATAAACTTGCTCCTTGTGGTCTGATGAAGAAACAACCTTGCTGTAGCCAGAAGGGTCAAGGCTTTGAAGGGAACTACAGACAAGCGTACCAAAGTGAAGGTATATCCAGCAAAGCACAGCTGAAACAAGCACACTAATCTGATATACTCTCAATAAACACATGGTATACCTCCCTCCATGAAAGAGCACTCAGTTAGGGTACTCCTATAAATGTGCCTGCCTTTGGCCAATGCTCACAGCTCTATGGAGTCCCTTAAACTGGGCAAGAAGGCAAACAAAAGGGTGAGGGGGTAAGGTCATCCCCACCTTCTGGGGCACAGGGAAGGGAAACACCACAGGAGCAACTGCAGTCCAGGGTTCAAAGCCTGGTTATACCAAAAATGCCAAAGCAGCAGCAGAGAGGTGAGCCTATGTCACCGGGTCCAGACTGTGACTTTGCAAGCAGCAAGGTGGTCTTCCGCAATGGGCCTGAGCTGCAAAAAGCTTCAGAGTCCGAGGGAGGTCAGCAAAGGGAGTAAAAGCTATGACGTTCCCTCAGCCATGGGAAACAGAACTGCTTGCCATACCGGAGAGCTCAGATTTCACAAAAGAAGGTGCTCCGCACCCCCCCCACACCCCGAGAGCCCACATACACTCCAGCCCGGGGGGCACCAGAGGAGGATGGTCAGCGCCTGGCCTGGGCCAGCCCAGGGCCTGGGCCTGACTCTCCCG